TGGAGTGTCTTGCCATTAATAAAATAATCTATCTGAAATTGGAAATAATTTTATGCCATGAAAATTTCTCCACTCCTTAACGGGAGCACACAGTCCTTTCAAAGAATAATTTTTATCTTATACAATCTTATCTGAGAGTCAAGATTTATTCCAGGCTTGTATTTCAGAAAAAAGAGCATTAAATTATTTCTATTGTGTCCCAGAGTGATAGGGGTGACAAAGCTGCCCAGAGTTGTCACTGCCCAACACACTGTAGGCACTCAGATATTAATCAGTAATGACATCTCCTATTTTTCCCCCTCCTATCTAGAGCTCAACATCATAGGAAGGCTAGCAATCAATACACAAAACTGGATAGCCCCATCACTCCAAGTCCAGGAAAACTGCTTTGTTTAGTATGGGGGAGAAAAAGATACTCAAAGTTACATGCGTTCTTCTCTATTTCTTCTGTCTATCCTTTTAAAGAACATTTTAGCCTGACATCTAAGACCTTATTCAGATTGTCGTCTAACAAAACCATTGTTATGTCTCTTTGAAGTCAAAATTGGGTAGAGGTACATAGGCTTGAGACACACAAAAGAAGAAGAAAACTGGAAGTGGCTCATTAACTCTATCAAGTTCCAGACTATTGAGCTTAATGTTATGGAGGGATAGGAAAGAAACATGAAACACAGTCTCTGACTTGAAGGCTTGCAGTGGTTACCTCACTCTCCCTGACCCAGCCCATTGCTAGTTATAAAACACAACGCCCACAAGAACTACTAAAGAAAGACTTGGAGAGGAAACCTTCTTTCCTTTAAAATTGGGAAAACAATTCAGATGTTAGGACTGAATTTTATGAAAATGGGCCCCAGCTGAAACTTTTGCTTTTGTTTTCTTCTTTTAAAACTACTATAGGGGAACTGGATGCATTTCCCAGGAAAACTATACCTTTTAAATGTCCATTAGAAGGAGATGATTTATCAACTTACATACTTTGAGTACACGAGTTTACTCTCTGTGTGACAAGGATCATAGAATCCCAGTTTAAGATCTGAAATGGACACTAGAGGAGATTTAATCCAAACCCCTCATTTTACAAATCAGGAAATGAAAGACTGGAAAATTTAAGTGAATTGGCCAAGTAGGTGGCAAAACCAGGATTCAAACCCAGGCCTTTTGATTCCACATCCCAGCTTTGCCACTTGATACTTGTATAACCTCACATAGATTATTTAACCCTTGTAAGCCCCAATTTTTGTATCTATGAAGTGAAAGGGAGAGAATAGATGAGGACTGAATAAACGTTAAGATCCCAAAAGACTATCATAAGTAATTTTTTTAAATCATTCATGAAAAGTTCCCCTTACAAATATTTACAAAGCATGGGTATTATAACTATTAACTGGAATAACTAAGCAAAATTGTGTAAGAGGTAAACTCTTTCTTCTTTTCTCTCTCATATCACACTTATGATTCCACTTGTCCTTACCACCATCATTCAACATTCTGACCAGCTCCTGCAATATTTTTTTTCCAAGTGTCCAGGAATTAATGAAAAGCTACCCTAGAATAGCAGTTACTAATGAGTCCTTGAGAGGCAGCTAAGTGGCATTATGGATACAGCACTGGGTCTGGAGTCAGGAAGACCTGAGTTCAAATCCAGGTTAGATACTTACTAATTGTGGGACCCTGGGCAAGTTGCTTAATTCTGTTTGTTTTAGTTTCCGCATCTGCAAAATGAGCCGGAGAAGGAAATGGCAAACCACTCCAGTATCTTTGCTAGGAAAACCCCAAATAGGGTCACAAAGAGTCAGACATGACTAAAATAACTAAACTACAACAACATCATCAATGAGTTATTGACACTTTGGTGTGAATTAAATTGGTGAATTATATCTTCTAGAGTTCAGATAATCTTAATCATTGGTTCTAACAGCAGAATTTCTGAGTGAAAAGCAGTAATGATTGATGGAAGGTTTCAGAGGACAGAGATTGTGAGGAGTATTTGAGGGTATTAAGCATTTCACCCTTATCAAGTAAGCGTGAAAGTGTTCTGATAAAGTAAGAGTATGGTATTACTTTCACAACTCAGGCCTTAATCACCTTTTACCTGGTCTATTATAATAGCTATTTGATTATTCTCCCTGCCTCCTTCCCTCTCTCTCCATTTCAACCCATCCTTCAGAAAGATGACTTTCCTAAATGAGTAGTTCTGACCATGTCACATACCCCCCCCCCCCCCCGCTCCCCTGCCTACACACACACACACTCAATAAACCAGAACTCTCTAAGATCAAATACACACTTCTATATTTGGTGTTTAAAGCTCTTCATAACTTAACCCTCTGCTTCCTGGCCCTGTGCTATGTCTTTAATCTTCTTACTCATCACTCCCCTCCAGGTACCATGTGGACTGGCCACATTGGCCTACTTGCTGCTCCTTCAATGTGACATTCCATTTCCCCTGTTCTCACCTCTACCTCCTGTAATCCCTGTTTCTTTAAAATTCATCTTAAATATGCAGCAGGAGACCTCTTGTGGTACCACTCCTCCTTCTCCCCTCCCCTGCTGCTACTGACTTCCTCTCTAAGGTTACTTTCAAGGGTATGCAGGTAAAAGTTTCATAACCAGCTTCCAGTGGGAAAAAAATGTATAGAAGGACATACTTTTAAGTTTAATCTGCATTATTAACATTTTCTCTATCACTTTCTTAAGTCTAGATAATATATCCAGCAGTGTCTTATACGTACCTATTTATATACTTGTTGTCTATGTTCATTAGAATGTTCCTTGAAGAAATGGATTTTGGGGGGAAGGAAAAAAGAGAAAGAAAGCAAGAAAGAAAGGAAGGAAGAAAATATAAGAAAAGCAGAAAGGAGGAAAGAAAGGAAGAAAAAAAGAGAGAAGTGGAGAAAGATGAAAGGAAGAAAGAAGGAAAGGAAGGAAGGAAGGAAGGAAAAAGATAAGACAGGCAGAAAGGAGGAAAGAACGGAAGGAGGAAAAAAGAAAGAGAGAAGAGAAGAAAAAAAGAAGAAAGAAGGAAAGAAAGAAAAAAGGAAAGAAGGAAAGGAGGAAGGAAAAAGAGAAAAGTGGAGAAAGAAAAAAGGAAGAAAGGAGGAAGAGTGAAAGAAAAAGAAAAGCAGTGAGGTAATGCAATGGATAGCATGATGGACTTCAAATTAAGAAACCTTGAGGTCAACTTCTGTCTCAGATACTTGCTGGCTATGTGATATTGGATTAGTCACTAAACCTCTCTCAGGTAACCTAAGCCTCATTTTCATCATATGCAAAATTGGGATAATAATAACACCCACCTCATAGGGTTGTTCCAAAGATCAAATGAGATGACATATATAAAGCACTTTGCAAACCTTAAAAACTCTATATAAATGTTAACTATGATTATACTGTATATATCTGACTTGCCATAGTACATAATTGTCAGTCAACAAACATTCATCAAGCACCTTCTATGAGCCAGGCATGTAGCTAAGTTCTGAGAATACAGAGAAAGGTAAATAACGGTCCTAGCTCTCAAGGAGCTCAGTCTAATGCGGGAGACAAATGTGATCAATTATTTAGAAACACGATACATACAGGAAAAATTAAAGACGATTAAAGAGGGAAGGCATTAGCATGAAGGGGGACTAGGAAAGCGTTCTTGTAGAAAGTGGGACTTGCAGTGAGACTTGAAGGAAACTCGGGGAATTGAAGCAGAGATGAGGAGGGACATCGTTCTAGGTATGGGGGACACAACTCATTTGGCTTCATAATCTTTGAGGCTTAAAACATATTGACGTGATATAAAACTACAGACAAACTCATGAACCACTCTGGTAGCAGGTTCTTCAGCCAGTGCAGGAGCTCTATCCATTGGGACAGACGACAGTGGAAGACAAGGCAGGTCAGGACTGCAGCATATGTATCTTTCATATTTTGGCAGGAATCAAAGACAGGGAGGGAGCGGTAAGGAGGATGGAAATTGGGATAGGGGATATTGCAGTAATGGACTATAATTTGGGACAAGCGATGTTTTATCACCTAGCCATGACTAACCTTTCTTATACCTGGCCCTTAAGGATCTTAGCTGCAAAAGGAAGCAAGACCCATAGCCCGGCACAATCCCCATTTGGGTCAGAGAACACAGCTCTTGGGTTAGTTAGGAAAAGGTGGAAGTTTTATCACAGAATCTCTGGACTTTCCGTACAACCATGTGAAACAGCAGGGTCCCACAGAACCCTGTTTGAGAAATGCTAGTATAGACCATCCATTCTGTTAATAGTATCCAGCATAAAACCATTACTGATTAATCAATAAAAACTCATGCGGGAGTTTCACTGAAATGTACTTTTATAACAACTCATTTGCTCACATCCATTAATTACCTTGTCTCTCCTGTTATGCTTTCAGGATTTGCCTGAAATGAGTGATCAACCCATTGTTGGTCAAAGAAGTCTAAGATTTAGGGCAACCCAGAAGTTGGTCTGTCACATTTCCTGCTTTTTGGATTGTCATCTTCCCTGTCCCAAACACCTAGCATATACACGATTCAGTGAGGACACTCAACTCTCAGCTTTCCTGACTGGACTTTTGTCAGCTTTGCAATTAATTATATTCCGTTATTAAAAATCATCAATTAGCCCAAAAGGTTGCTGAGCTGGGGAGTGTGTTGAAGGAGGCAGAATCTAATGATAATTTGAGATGAGTAGGACACTAAATTTCTCTCTTGTTAATAATTAAAGTAGATAACTTGTGTTTTTATTTATAGCTTCCAGAAATATCCGGCTCGTTTCTGTGCACTGCAATGTCAGCTCATCATCCGTTTGTCAGGATCTGACTTAGGCTATTGTATTTTATTATCAGCACACCCAGCTTCATTGGAAGCCATTAAATACAGCCCATTTGTACTAAAATTAAAACCTCCAAAGGCTAGGCCTGCTGTGCTTCCATGATCCTCCTGTCCTGTCATCTGCTTTGAAAAAATGCAATCATGAGGAATAAAAAAAAATGCTTTTTACCAGTTTCAATTTCCCAGATGTAAACAGAATCATCGGCACAGCCAACAATTAAGAAATTTTCTACAGGATGCCATTTGATTGTTGTCACAGGGGAAAGGTGCTTCTGAGCCTTCAAAACACATGTCTTTTCCTCAAGATGGAGTAGTATAACCGAGTGGTCACTGCATACACAGCATACAACATGGTGATCTTTCAGCTAGAAAACAAATGACATTATTTCTGTAGCAGGTAATTTAGTTTGATAGTTCTAATAAATTACTTAAGTTTTTGTTTGTTTTTGTTTACATGGGTTACATAGGCAAAAAGGTTAAAAAAGCCCTTATGTGTAACACAGCTTTCACTGATGGATTTCTATGGTTCCTCTCAGGTAGCTCAAACTGCTATATCAAAAATATGGAAACACAAGATGATTTCTTAAACTCTACAGAATACAAGAAAGGACAAAGATCACAGTGGAAACTTCTTATTTGGAACCTATAGTAAACTAAAGTTAAAAACGATATATATACATTAAATCCAAAGTCAATAGAAATAAGTTCTGAATAAAAATGAGCAACAACAAAAAATCCACTTACTCCCTTTCCTCAAAACAGCTCTGGTAGATTCAGTCTAGGTTATATTTGCATAACATAAATCAATATTTCTCATTTGTAGCCTCAAAATGTGATAGTACTATTAACAGGCCTATGTAGCGTATACAATACAAAATATACTGGATAGGCAGAAATCCTAGGTTCTAGTATGGACTCTGGCACAAGCAACACATATGGTCTTAAGTATAACTTCTGTATGCCTGACTTTCCTTAACAATGAAACAGAAATATTATTACTTGGTCCTACCTATTTGAGAGAGAAGTTGTGAAGAAAGCTCTTTTAAAATTATGAGGTGTACATAAATGTGAGAAATTATCAATATCATTATTATCCAATGAATTTGACCATAGTCTAAAAAGGCAATAGGTATATCCAATGCAATATAGGCAATCCCTGAAATGAGATCAACTTTACAGGGAAGCATCACTCCATAAAATACTGTTTACTCTTATCTGCATAACTCAAATACAATTTATATCTAGGAACATTATGGAAATACAGCTGAAATTTAGCAAAGAATAGTTTGATACTTTGTATTTTGGTCACAGGGGTACAACACTGAAGATCTTTCACCTAATTTTAAATATTTTCCCTAGGGGAGGCAATCGGGGTTAAGTGATTTGCCCAGGGTCACACAGCTAGTAAGGGTCTGAGGCTAGATTTGAACTCAGGTCCTCCTGACTCCAGGGCTGTTGTTCTATCCAATGAGCCACCTAGCTGCCCCTATTCAATATATTTTAGCTATTTTTACTTATAAAGAGAGAAATTGCCCCCTACCATAATTGATTTAGTTACAGAAAACAGATTCCATACCACAGGTAATACGCCTTGTATTAACAAGGCATAACACCCAGTGATCCTTACAAAACATCTTTTTGCATAAATCAGAAGAGGAAACATTATAGGTTGGGTTAGGCCATGCTTTTAGGGATTTTAAATAGCCAAGTTCTAGAGAAACTTCATAGATTTCCAGTCTGGAAGCTGATAAACTTGATGATGGTACCAAGAAGTAGAGGTACTCATCCAGAAGGAGAAACCATCCTATCCAGCATCTGGAGGATCAATTTAAGAGACTTTAGGGCATAATTGAAGGAGAAAGAGACTTTAGGGTACAAGGTTGTAGAAGTAGCTTCCAAGAAAAGGACCACTGACAGCAGGAAAGAGAGAGAGAAAGACAAAGAGAGAGAAAGAAAGAAAGAGAAAGAGAGAAAGAGAGAGAGAGCGCGCCAATTATAGACTCAAGGGAGAAGCAGCCCTGACGTTTGAAAAATAGAGCTGTGGAAATCTTGGGAGAGGCCAACTGAGCAACCCACCAGTAGAGACCATGCACCTAGAAGGGAGATCCGAAAAGACTTCACTAGGAGAGCAAAGGATACCCTTTAGTTCTGGGGTTGCAAGTTGTCTTGGCTATGTGTGGTACCTTACTGTCACTCTACATTAGTTGGTGACCACTCTTTGTAAAGACACTGTATTTGTGAGTCTGTCCCATGTTTAGGAGGAACAGGGCTCAGAAGGCCTGTAAAAATATTTTTGTAACTATTACTCTTACTATGGCATCTTACTAAATGCCTTGGCTAACAGCTATTATGTCTAGTGGCAGAATGGTAATGGGAAGCACACTGGTGGAGGCCCATGAGGTGCAGCCCCAAAGGATTACCTTTTGAACTCCAGGTAGCAGCAACCTCTGAGGATCCAACCTGCAATGAGTATCCAATTGCAGGTAGCACAGAGGAAGTACTACGCTAATTATTTTTTACTGAAGATGCAAACTATTTCCAATACTTCTTTCATATCTTCATTCTTCTCTGATATCACTGATTATGATTATCTCATTGTTACTCAATACTCTGCATAAAATCTTTAAATGTATACAAATGTGAGCTAATATTATTATTGTCATTTACAATGTTTATTATTGGAGATAATCACAAAATTAGCCAATTGCTAATAGTACCAGTGGTAAAGATTTGCTAGGTAAAGGGCTGGAAACAATCAGTTAAATAAGATCCCTGGATTTTATTTCTTCACGCTAATGATGGTTCTCCTGATTTTGTGGATAAGTGACAATTGGTTCTTCATTCATCCATTTTACCATCTGAACTACCTGTAAAGATTGAATTTCCCTATCATAGAAAAGTTGTGATTAACTTCAGACCCAAGCTCATAAAAATCAAATATTAAGTCCTTTTCCTAAAGCAAATAGGGGAAAAAAAAGAATAATGGAGATTTCTTTATTAAACTTAAAAAAAACCTTCTTAAGTTGTAAGTATAAACCAGATTAAAAAGAAAAGTGTTAAGCAATTCAAATAATAATTATAATTGAGAGATTATTTCCCCCCTTTACTTACTGTGAAGATTTCTGGTGACATCAAAAGGCTTGTTACTGGACCTGCCCACAAAAGGAATTTATGCAAGACGTCTTCAGTTAAGATGTCCCACCAGATTACACAAGAATCTTGATCCCCTGAAACCATCCAGCTTGGATCTAATTTGGAAGAGTGGCTATGAGGATAAAGTAATGAAGTAACACTTCCGTTGTGGCCTCTAAGAACTTTGTGAGGTAGGGAATCTGAAAGCAGAAAGAAGGAGGCAAAATGTTTTTGCTGGCTCAAGGATGAGGTCTGAATTTTTTTGGATGGTTTATTTTTGGTTTATGGTTTTATAAAAAAGACTGTCATGTTCAAATTGATGACCTACTTTTTGAGTTTCTCCCCATCCTACCTCCTCTTCAAAAAACTCAGATTCTGCTTTTTCAAAGGTCCATTTAGGCATGAGAAAGTTACCACTTCAAAAACAAGGAACAAACCTCTCAAGGACCTGAGCTATTGAGGGATAGAATGTCTCTAAGATTCCATCATGACGGTTTATTACTAGAAGGTAGCATCTTTTACACCTTTTGCTCTTCTTTTCAAACTTCAAAATAATATAAATTATGGCTACTATGGGCAGTTGGTAGCACAGTGGATAAAGTACTAAACCTAGAGTCAGGAAGACTCATCTTCCTGAGTTCAAATATGGCCTCAGACAGTTATTAGCTGGGTGACCCTGGGCAAGTCACTTAACCCTGTTTGCCTCTGTTCCTCATCTATAAAATGAGGTGGAGAATGAAATGACAAACCGCTCTAGTATCTTTGGCAAAAAAAAGCTCAAATAGGATCACAAAGAGTTGGATGTGACTAAAATGACCGAATAACAACAAATATTACTATTATGGGCAGTGCGAGGGGGTGGGGGGAAGAGGTTTGTCTTTACCAGAGTATAATAATAATGTAGAAGCAAAATATATTGCAGTTCTCAGAATTTCATAAACATAAATTGGTGTTAAACTGGTTAAATAAATCAGAAACTGCATAAGAATGAACGAAGGGACAAAGAAAAGCCTATGTGGGAGCTGTTATCTCCCAATGGGTTAGCCTTTTGCCTCCCCTGGCTAAACATTTTATAGCTTTACACCTGGCCCCAGGACAAAGGTCAGGATAAAACTATTAGACTCACTTCATAAAAAAAGGGGATTAAAAACATAGGAAATTATGATGACAATAATAACAAAATTAAAACAGCCTATAATATTAGTATATTTCAGAGGCAGTATTCTTTGCCACATCTTAGTGGGTCAGTCAATGAACAACCACTATGTATACAAGTAACTCTAAAGAGATATCAGCTCTCACAAATACCATGATGATATATATCTATGCAGATGATTCCCAGGTCTACCTATTCAGGCCTTGTGTCTCTCCTGAGCTCCAGTCCCAAATTCCCTCTGGACATCTGTAACAGGATGTCCATTTCCGTTGCTGTTCTTTTAGTCATGTTCCGCTTGGAATTTTCTTGACAGCGATACTGGACTGGTTTGTCCTTTCCTTCTCTAGCTCATTTTACAGATGAGGAAACTGAGGCAAACAGGGTTAAGTGATTTGTCCAGGGTCACACAGCTAGTCAGTGTCTGAGGCCAGATTTGAACTCAGGAAAATGAGTTTTCAAACTCAACATATCCAAAATTTAATTCATTGTATTTGTTGTCTTTTCCCCAAAACCTGTCACTCTTCCTAATTTCCTTATTTCTTCTGAGGAAACCACGATTTTTCTAGTAATCTAGGTTTATGATCTTAGCCCTCCTAACGTCTTCACTTGTCTTCACCCTAGCATATCCAATCAGTCACCAAGTTTCATCAAATTTAACTACGTCTCTAGCACCAATTCGCTTCTTTCCACTCAACTTGATCACCACTCTCATTGAGGTCCACATCACCTCTCACCTCAAGTACTGCAACAGTCTAATTGTTCCCACTATTCCCTTGTCGCTCCTCTCTTTGATTCATCCTCCAATCAGCCGTAGCTGCCAACTCGATATACTTACATGACAGCTTTGACTGTGTCATTGCCCTGACCAGGAAGCTTTACTGGCTCCCCATTGTATCTTGGATTAAATAAAGCTCCCCACCCCTTTATGCCATTTAAATCCTTCATAATCTAGCTTCAATCTGTCTTCCCATACTGATTTAAAATTACTCCCCTTCATTCATTCAACATTCTGGTCAAGCTGGCCTATGTGTAGTTTCCAGACACAGAATACTCAACCTCAATTCTCCATACCTTCACATAGGGTATGGTCTAACCCTGAAATAACCACCTTCCTCAGCTCAACTTATAAACTTGAGCTTGAAGGCCATCTCCTTTCCTGATCACTCCAGTTGTTACTGTCCTTTCTCCCTAACACTTACACTGAGTTTTGTTGTTCAGTCACATCAGACTCTTTGTAACCCCATTTGGGGTTTTCTTGGCAAAGATACTGGAGTGGTTTGCCATTTTCTTCTCCAGTTCATTTTACAGTTGAGGAAACGGAGGCAAACAGGGTTAAGCAACTTGCCCGGGGTCACACAGCGAGTAAGTGTCTGAGGCCGGATCTGAACTCCGGAAGACTCATCTTCCTGACTCCCAGCCTGGTACTCTATCCACTGCACCACTATCTGTCCTAGTTTTTGAATTTATTCTGTATACATTTGGCATTTATTTATTTGTACACATTTAACATCCCACCCACTGACCCTCTCTAACCCCAGGAAAATATAAATCCCTTGAAGAAAACATGTGTTTTATTCTTTCCTTAGTATTCCCAGAGCCCAGAACAAAATAAGTGCCTGTTCAAACTATCCCTCTAAGTTTGTGAGGACCCAGGACACGATCTTTAACATGTCTCTAGAGCTCAACATGCCTCCTATCATCAAGCTCAACTTGTTACTCAGGATCTATTAATCTTTAATATGTAACTTATTACAACATAAAAAGCTGTCTAAAACTATACAAAATTATGAACAGACACTAAGTATGGCCACCTTCCTGCTACACCACTCAAAAACTAATCTGTCTTATTTAGTTCAAACCAAGTGTTTCTTGTTAACATGAAACATTACCTCTGATTTGACTTGACATTATTTAATGAATTCAACTAATTACCTTTTTTAAATAAGGCATTATCTTCCAAAAGTCCTGCTTTTGCTGCATTTAAAGCAAGTGTTATGAAGATCCTCCCATCTTCACATCCACATATTAGCTTGTCAAAATTTGGAATATACATAGACGAAGTGACTGCTGGGCTTCCAGCTCCATCTTCAAGAGCACAGAAACCATCAATAATGCTGGGTGACATAGTGTGATGCTTGTCAAAATTATCTTGAAGGGTGTAAGTGGTAGTTATTGGTATCTCTAGAAAGGGTAGAGAGGGAGGGACAAATCAAAAAAAATATGGATGAAACTCATCACAATCACCAAAAGAATTGAGTCAATATGTCATTGGGTCAGCCAAAAAGTCCCAACTACTGAATAGTGGCACACGAACTAGCTAATTATAATTTGTTTTTATAATCCCAGGTCTTCAACCCCCAGATCTTGGGCCCTAAAACCCTGAAGGGCATGATGAGGGTAGATAGAAGTTAAGGGAGCCAACCTAGACTGGAGCAACTAAAGATACCTGAGAAAGTCTTGGGATGGTAGAATTGGTTCTGAGGAACGTCATACAGTGCTTTCAACTTGACTTAGCCAAAGATGAAAGGAGAAAATAGAGTTGTAGTATATGGTGATAGAAAGAACACTAGATATAGAGTAAAAAGTCCTAGGTTTAAATGTCAGTGTCAATTTTTTCGTCAAATGAGAAGGTTAGATTAGATGATCTCTAAGGAAGGCTACTTTTCACTCTAAAGCTTTTGAGCCTCTGATATTAGATCACTACATTGAAAGTTTCAGTTTGAAAAATGACAAAATATTTGAATATTTCAAAATGATGTCATGCCCATACTGCATTTCTGAGGTTTGGTAGCTATCACAGACACTCTCTATGGTGTGTATCACTAGGGTCAGGTTCAACAGCATACTGGCCTTTCACCATCTTGCACCCTGAATTCTGACAATGCTTCTGAGTTCTGAGCAGCTACTGAACACTTTGAGGATTTAAAGAAGTCTTCCAATAGACCCAGAGAAATTTAAGGACCTCATAATAATACATCATAAATTTAGAGCTTGGAACGGGGACTCAAGCTGTCATCTAGTCGAATCTCCCTCATTATACATTTAAGGAAACTAAGACCCAGAAATTAAGTGACTTGCCTAAGTATGTATACGTAATAAGCAGCAGAACCTGCATTTAAACCAAAGTCAGGGCTCTTTTCCCTACATCATAGTTGCCTCTTCAAGTACTTTAAAATAAACTAGAACTCTAAAATCACATAAGGTTACAGATATGGAGCCAGAGGGACCTCAGAGCTCACGAAGTTCAACCACTTGATTTTACAAATAAGGAAATTGAGGCTCAGAGATGTAAAACAGCTTGCCCAGGGTTACACACCTGAGGTGGGATTTGAACACAGGTCTTCCTGATTTCAAGTTCAGTGCTATGCCTACTAGTCTATTACACCATATGAAGCTAAGCTTGGATAAGCTAAAATCACTGTCTCCTTATACACCACGCTATTATCCAGTCTTTTCTCACTTGCAGAGTCAAGCAGAAAGGTCTAGAAATTTTCCCTAGTTGTAGAAACAGACACAGCACACATTTGGCAAATGGAATACATTTTCTTACCTTTAGGGGAACCATCAAACTTTGATACTGGAACATCAGGGATATGCCACAAAGTGATTCTTCCAGACATTTCTCCTGAGAAGAGGACTTTATAGAAAGGTTCCTTCCGTTCATTGAGATAACCCATAATAAACGGATAGCTCTGTATCAGAAATAATTGAAAATTTTACTCACAGGGGAAAAGGCAAAGACTAGGAACTGATGATAGCCATGGTTGTGATGAATGGGGAATAAAAGAGAAAGGAAAAGGTTAACACACAAATTGACTTTGTTGCATAAATGCCTTACTCTCAAGAATCTTAATCTGTAACCAAAACAAGGGCGTGACCAGCTTTAAAGGAAACTCTGGGTACCATGCAAAAAGATTCAGCCACTAGTCAGTTTTTAATGTTCTCAAAAGGAGAGGAAATAGCCTAAATGCAATAGATCAAATATTCTAAATACAACATCTGTCTAGCAAGGATTCAGAGGCTTAGGTTGAATGACCTCAATAGCACCTTCCAGATCAGATATTCTATGGCCTTCCATGAAAGATGACCTTTTCTGACCCTGAGTTGAAAGAAATTCAAAAGGTGAACTAAATCAGTTCATAATCTTTCCTTGATGATTCACAGGGCACTTCAGGATCGTGTAATGCTCTCAACTGTTATCATTTTGAACAAATATGCTAAGTCCTGATTATCAGATTTCCTGGTTCATTCAATATTCTCACTTGTGTTTGCATTACACCTCATCTAGCCCTTCTGCTACAGACTAACTAATAAGCCAGATTGGACTCAACTGATTCACTTCACATATTGTGAATCTAGAGACAGACAGTGCTTTAGTAAGGCCAAGACTAAAGCCAAGTGCTCCCAATCCCTAGATCCGTTGTTTTCCACCCAAACAAATTACTTTCATTAAGTCCTGCCTATAAGTAGAAATAATAAGTATTTTTAAATTCATGAAATTTTAAATTGATTATAAAGATGGATTATTTTGCTAAATAAAGGGTAAAAATCTGAAAATGGGTTAACACGATGGCTTTCAAACTCAGATTTACACTCTGTGTAAATCCATCCTACCTCTAAGAAGTACCTATAAAATAAATATAACTGTCTAAGAGAAAGAGAATGTGATTTTGAGAAAATGTAGGTAGGATGGATATAAATCTGGGAAGGCAGACAAAATTCTGCAATCTATGTATCTAACACTGAATTAGTCATTAAGCATGTATTGAGTATCTACTATGTGCCAGACATATGTTTGGTGCTGAAACTATGAAAACTATTATCGAGGATCTTTTTAGCAGTTTACCAAACTGATGAGAAATCTGTTTCATTTGACAATATGAAGCACACTGTCAAGTGAATTGCTTAGGACAAACAATAATTTTGATATGGTTTCATTTTGTGATAGCAATGGTCATGTGATTTGGGGTTCTTCTGACCTAGACCAGATAAAATTGTATTGATGTGGTTTCCCAAACTTGAGTTAGTTCTCTATCAGTTGATTGCTGATTTTCATGCCACATACCCATGTTTCATTGTCTTTTTTGTTTTGTTTTTTTTTAGTTCTTTGGTTTTAATGAATTGATATTTTTCCATAGAAACCTGGAAAAGTTATAACTTTTAAAGAGCATACTTCTATGAGTGTCAGAGATATTGTAGAAGCTATTGATGTGGGTAAGTCAAGCACTTCAAGGATTAGTTAGGCCCACAATAAAGCAGGAACAGTTGCAACAGAAAGGAAGTATGTTTGAAAACAAAAAAAGCAACAATAATAAATGGCAAAATATTGTTGCAGAACAGCCCAATTAATCATTAGAAAATAAGCAAAGATCTTCAGAGGAACCTGGCAGCTGAAGGGGTTGTTATTGATGCCTCCATTGTAAGATAGAAGTTTTTTAAAGTTGAAAGAATATTGAGTGGAATTTTTTTTTAAACATTGCTAACTCTTGCTATGAGGAAGGGAAAAAGGAGGAAGACAGAACAAAGACTATGATACTAAAAGTTGGAAAGACATAGAAGAGGTGGTGAAGTTGACCCTGTTCCAAAGGCTAATCCAAAAATTTTGGCATAAGAAGTCCAGGTAAATCTCTAAGATCCAGGCTTCTTCATGGGACTGTAAAACATGTACCCCAAAAAATGTTTTGGGAATTTTTTACTTCCCAGGTCTGGAAGTCTTATCCCCATTGAAGGAATGATGAATTCTGATAAATATAGTAATATATTGAGAAATAAAATCATTCCAGAATTATAGGAATTCCCAAGTAGAGATAAAAATACTGTAACACAGCTTTATACAATTCCACACATGACAAAAGGTTAAGAAATTTTAAAAATGGAAATAAAAATGCTTTAATAGACTGGTAATTTGCCCGATGCAAACTTCTCTGTCAGAGGTAAAAAAAAATCATGGCACATAATATGATTTTTTTTTAAAACATGGGGACTAATTTGATGATTTACCCACTCACCCACTTTTTTTCTAAATTTTTCTTCTAAGTAATGGTTCTCCTGGAAGGATAGGTACAGATAAGAATTGTAGGCAATATAAAAACAAATAATACATTTTTTTCAGAAAAGCAAAGTTATGGGCTACATAACTCAAGACTAGACTTGAAAAATCACTGATGTCAAAAGTATACTTAATGTACAATGCTATGAAAGTGGAGTTTCATGATGAAGAATTAATGACTATCAAAATCGTGAACTCAATCTAAAGTCATATAAAGCAAATAACTATAGCAAAAGCCCATGTTGCATGTTAAAAGCTGTTTTTAAGATAGAAAAAGTAATAAGATTTATTGTATGTCAATAAATTTTACTTTGTCTCAGTTAATTTGTATACAACTGCAATTTTGCATAGAAGAAATGCCCTTTTTCAATGTTTTTTCTTTTGCTCTCTGAAGATCTACTGCATTTTCATTCATTTCAATGCTGTTGACCTCTTTCTTCCAAATACTAGGAAAGGAACTATGTATACTTAATTGATATTATACAGCAGAGAGTTCAGTGCCACAAAAGAAAAAATGTTTCTTAAATCATAGATTCACAGATCTGGCTATTAGAAACCTTAGAAATTAGGCAGTCTAATACTCTCATTTTACAAATGAATAAATTGAGAACACAAAAGATAAAATAAACTTTCTTTTGGTCAAATAGGTAGTTTAAGACCAGATTTCAGATTTGAAACCAGGTCATTTTTTGTCAATTGTTGATGTTGTTCAGTTGTTTTTCAGTTGTGTCTGACCCTTCATGACCCCATCTGGGATTTTCTCTACAAAGATACTGGAGTGGTTTGCCATTTCCTTTTCCGTATTATTTTACAGATAAGGAAACTAAAGCAAACAGGATTAAGTGACTTGCTTGGGGTCACACAGCTAGTAAGTGCCTGAGGCCGGATTTGATCTCAGGAAGATGAGTCTTCCTGACTCCAGGCTCAGCATTCTATCTACTGCACTCCTTTATATGCAAAACCCAATGTTAATTTCACTATACTACACTGCTTTTCTTCTCCTGAGTCTGATTTTTTTTTTTGGAAGGAAGATAGAACTTTTAGAAAAATGAGAACGGGATGGCAGGGAACGTGTCAGGAGATAACAATTAAATTCATGACTTAATTATCATCTTGATACCTCTGACCTCCACAAAGTCCTACTCCAAAGCCTCACAGTATGAAGGTGACCATATTTAGGTTACCAAAAGGTGTGTAAGAAAAGAATGAGAAAAGGTTCTGATTATAAACTAGAAACAAACTGTGCCTGCTCCACGAGGCCAAGCCAACCTAAGCATGGATATGCTTATCACCAGTCACCTACTCCCTTGGTGATGAACTCTTTGGCCATGGCAAACAATGAAACAAAGGACAATACAAAATGGCACTCAGCTCTATGTAGCCACTTCTATGCAGCAACTTCTACTTTTCAAGTGACAGTAGCAGAATGGCCAAAAAAAAAAAAAAAGAATACAACTCTAAGAGTCACTGTTTTTATTAAAACTGTCTATAAACATTAATTGTAGGTACTTCATATGTGATATCCTTGTGCAATGGCCAAAGAGAAGGTATACTACCAGAGGAACTTAATTATGTCAAACTTGAAAACATTCTCAACATAAACAAATAGAAATAGACATTTTCAATAGAAACAAAATAAATATTTTCAATATAAACAAAACCAAAAGATAAAAATTTGCAATAAATGAAAGGATAACTCATAGCTTCTCGTTGTACACATAAATAATGGAATTAGCAGAGTTGATCGTATCATGTATCCAAAAGCAATATGAAACATAATTTCATGGGACATTTGGTTATCTGGTATTGTAGTAGTATGGCTAAGAATTTGCAAAATGATCAACAGAAAAATAATTGCAGCAAAATTTCAGTTTCAGAGGATTTCACATGTAGGAGTACATTAGGATGGCCCCAAATTATACTCCAATGTTTTGTGCAATGTAGATACAATCTGTACATATTAGTCCCTCCTCCACTTCACCTACTGATCTCCCTGGCTTCCTTTAAGTCACAAATAAAATCTCATCTTTTACTGGAAGCTTTTCCCAATCACTTTTAATTCTAATGCCTTCGCTCTGTCAATTATTACCTATTTATTCTATACATAGTTTGCTTTGTACATATTTATTTGAATGTTTTCTCCCCTGTTAGATTGTAAGCTACTTGGAGACAGGGACTGCCTTTTACTTCTTTTTTTATTCCCCATGCTTAGCACGGTGCCAGGAACATAATAAGTATTTAATATTGATTGGCTGATTGAGTGTCATAACATGCAAAATAAAACATACACTGCAAATGAACAATAAATGGATCCCAAAATTTAAAAGAACAGTGTGGGATAGATTTCCTTTGGAAAACACCAGTACTTTTTATAAACCTCAAGCTTCTCCCTGAAACAAAGGCCCATCTTTTTAGTGCAGATATTCTTTCAGCAGAAATCCCAATGTGGCTGGGATTCGTGGAATACAACAGTTTCAGAAAACGAAGTGGAATTTGAACCAAAGGATAACGATGAGGTGATTTGTAGGTATAAGTAGGCTGCAATATATTAAGAATGAGGTAGCTAGGTGGCGCAATAGATAGAGCACCGGTCCAGTCCTGGAATCAGAAGGACCTGAGTTCAAATACTACCTCAGACAACTTGACACTTACTAGCTGTGTGACTCTGGCCAAGTCACTTAACCCCAATTTCCTCACCCCCCCCAAAATTATATATATGTATATGTGTGTGTGTGTGTGTGTGTGTGTGTGTCTCAGAGACAGAGAGAGAGAGAGAGAATGAAGAATTGCATAGGAAAGCACCCTAAAGGACTTCATAACAGATACATGACCAGAAAAGATAATGGACTGGACGTGAAATGAGAATAAGGAACAACAGATGGACAGATCATATTCCTTTGCTATTTATTCAACAGTATGAAAAGTAGAAAAAGCCACCCACCTCGTTAGATGAGTGCTCTGATTAGGATTCATAAGAAGATATGATCAATAGTTACACAAGAAGGGAAGGAATGAATGAGTGTGGCCGAGACTCAGGGTCATTGGTGATCTGGAGCCATATCAATGATCTCTGAAGCCATATAAGTATTGAACTAAATAACTGTCATAATGAAGAATTTTTAGCTTAAAAATCAGCCATGTGGAGTGGCTGGGGAAGTTGGTGTCCCCAAGGTGGTAAATTGGTATGTAAGGGGAAGGGGGGTGCTGCTGCCTACTGACCTTTATTTTCTGAAAGTTTTTATTTTAAAAGAAGAGAATATCAAATAATGAACATAATAATAAAATTCTGAACTCCCAGTGCACTTTAACTGCACAGCACTGAAGACTTCTTTTTACACTGAACATTTTAGTTACAAAGAGGAAGGAAAATACTAAAAAAAAACCCAAAAATTAAATAATGCCTTAGGAAAATTATAGACTGAAAATATTGTTTTTTTCCAGATAGAATACAAAACAGCATTCTTTTGGCAATTGTCAAATAATTCAAAAATCATCACCAATACCATTCCTGAATTGAAACATTCCTTCATTTTCTAATTTTTAGCTGTTATCATCTATTTAGAAAATATCTATAAGACTTCACAAATAAGTTTGAGAGGAAGCAATTGTCTGACTTCTCAATATCTGTAGCTGACTAATTAAGCATGCTATCAACCAATAAATAGCAATATATACTCTTGGTTGTCATATCAATCATTCACAAACATTTTGTTTTTCTTGCAAATAGTATTCTAGTGTTTAACTGATGACCAAGTTCAATATTTTTAGAAAGTGAGGATGGTTATAATAATTATATCTAGTACATACAAGACTGCCCTACAAATATATGAGGACAAAGTTAGAAATGTCACTCTCTAAAAGTCAGTAAGAGTCAATGTAGCAAGGGGCAGAGGGGTAGGGTGGCGGAATGAATGAACACATAATGAATGAAGTTAGTCATTTACAGAAGCTAAATGAGATAATTTTTTTTTAAAGCCTTCCTGAATCTCAGCAAGGAGCTTAAGGTGACTCCATAGAAAGAAGTAAATAGATGTAAAATATAACTAAAGTTAAATTTTAATTTGGGAAACATGTCTAGCATGGGGAGGTATATGATAATATATTTGATAACTGATAAACAGTGGGGAAAAAAGAGAATTAAAGAGTGAAGAGTGGAGTGTTTTTCCAACATCAGACAGGAGGGAGGGTATCCTGACTTTACCGGGTTAGACAAGTATCTGGTCTACTTGGCAGATCTATAGAATAGAAATGAGTGTGTCTGGTTATCATGGCTTGATACTTGCCGGTGAAACTTTCAATTTCAATTTGGTTGTTTAAGTAGACTTTCCTATTGGAAAGAAAATGTGCTAAATAGCAATATAAACATCTGGTCTGTTCATCAGATCTATTTGTCACTGTCATCTAATAAATTGGCATTCATGCTTACTAGGATTTCTTCTATATTTGGTAGCATGCATCAGTTGCCCTCAGAGCCTGATCACTTCTGGGTGGAACAATAAAATTAAGGTTTCTAACCTTAAAAACTGAGGACCAAACTGTGTACCTAAAGGGATATCATTCAGTACTATCACCCTGAGAAGCACCAGACTCTCCGATGACGTCTTTTATCAACATCAGAGAAATATTTGGTATTTTTTATTATTTTTTAGAATGTAAGTTCCTTCAGGGCAAGGGACTGTCATTTACTTTTACACTTCCTTCAGCAAATCAGATAATGCTTTTTATTTAGTACATTAATTGTTGGTGTAATTGTTTTGGAGCAAGTAGGTGGCTCAGTGGATAGGGCACCAGGTCTGGAGTCAGGAAGACCTGAGTTCAAATCCAGCCTCAGATACTTCCTCGGTGTGTGACCCTGGACAAGTAATTTAACACATTTGCCTCTGTTTCCTCATGTATGAAATAGGGATAACAATAGCACCTACTTCCCAGGATTGTGATAAGGATCAGATGAGATAATAATTGTAAAGCACAGTGCCTGGTACATAGAATACACTATACAAATGTTAGTTATTCTTGTTGTTATTATTAATACAGTGTTAGACTTGGTATCAGGAATATTGTTCAGATCCCTTTTCTGACACTAGTTTATTATTGCAGATGAACCTCAGTTTTGTCATGTGTAAAATGGGTATAATCATATTTATTTATTGACTACTTCAGGATGCTGTTATGATAATATGTGGAAAGTGCTTTGAAATTTTTAAAGTATTACAGAAGGGTAAGTAGCTATTGTTATCATTCTTGTTACTAATGATAATAATAGTAAAATATTACCTGGTTTACTGCTGACATTCAGGAGAATCATATTGATTTTAAAAATATGTTTAATGAAATTTAATTTTTATGGCAACTTTGTAGAACATATTAACCACTTTAAAATAGTAGTACCAGATTAAAGTTTGTATTATTTGATGGTTTGAACCAACTTTTTCATAACAATTTAATTTGAAACAGAGAAAGCCAGCTACTTATCTAAAATACTGAATGAAAGAACTTTAAGGAATCATTTCTCTTTTTTATCCATTACCTTATTTTCTTTTACAAAAGTAGAGCAAAGTAAATGAGGATACATGGTTTCTTTAAGTACTCTTCCATCAGCAGGATATAAACTTTTTGAAAGTCCACTGGGTAAAAAAAAAAAAAGAAAGGGGAAAAAAACAAGTTGTTTTTAAAAATGTGGATGTGTTTATTTGTAGTATATTTGTATCACTCCTCTAAATTTTTTTTAAGTCCAGGATTTACCACTCAAGTTTCTAAACTCTGTTAGAAACTGTTAGGTTAATAATTACAAGTGACTTCTTTTTGAAAACCCGGCACCAGCTGTACAAGTTCTACATGGCTAATCTCATTCCTCCATCCCCTGCTGTTTCATACAAAGGCTGGAGTCTACCAAGCTTAGGGTAAATCTTCGAATGCCAAAGTGGTTTTGTTCTGGTTTTTGATCATGGGCAACATGCAGGGACTTTCCTATAATAAACCTCCCAAAGTTCATTTTCTACCTGAACATTATGTGTGCTGTCCCCATCTGAGCCCACCTGTTCAGCAGCTGATAGATATAACTGTGACCATCTTCTGTCCAGATGATGACTCGGTGAGCAGCAAGCACCTCTCCACCAGCAAAAAATTCCCTGCTTTTACTGACTTCAGTGAGCAGGAGGGAAAAATCACAGTAATCATAAACCTAAAAAAGAAAATCCTCACTTTCCATCAACAGTTCACAATGTGTGCTCAATTCTATCAATGAGATTATGGTTTAAGTCAACCTATGGGCAAGTCTCAAGTGTACATTATATTTTATCCTTATAGACATACCAAGAGCAACTTAATACAAATGCAGACCAACATAGGCATTCGGTTATTGTCTTTCATTGATAATTATTGTTTAGTAAGTTTGATTAAATTATGATCTTATTTCAGGGTGGCCTTCTATAAAGCCAAATAATTTGTAATAGATTCAGTTATATAATATATTGAAATGAAAAGGGCATTTTCAAAGGGTGACACTTTCACTTTTCTCTCAGGACAAGCTGGGAGCTCAGTGATCTTGCATTCAGTGCATTCATAAGAAAAGAAGATGTTAACATAATAGGACAGTGAAAAGTAGAAGCCCTTAAAAAGATAAATTATTTCAAGAGAAGAACATGATAATGTTACTTTAAATTCCCAAACAGAGGCATCAATTTTAAAAAAAAATCTTCTATCAAAACATAGTAGCTCCCTACTATAACATGAATGATTATGCATAGACCAAGACATACTATGGATCAAACACCATCCCACAAAGTATAGGAACTAGATGTAGTAAAAAACCTGATGGAAAGTAGAAAGTGGGTGCTTGTCCAGGGTCTCAGATAAATATTTCAAAGAATTTGTACCATATTTAAATTATAGTCTACTTTTCAATGTAACTATCATGAGAGTAAAGAAATTCTCTGTGTTCACACGCTACCTGCCAACATTTAGAAAATACCACCAACAGAAGTCTTTCCGTGTAGGGACAAAATCTTATCGTCCGGCAGTTCGGTGAGTCCAGAGATTTGGATTCTTTCTCATAAATATCTTTCTTTTCCTTTATAAGAAGTGGACACACATTAGTACCAGCTCCTAATGCTTTAGGTTAATGCATATAATCAAATGTTTCCAACATATTTGTACCAGATCACTTTTTTATGACTTCAAAAGTATCTCACAATCCTATATTAACTTGTAAGGCCTCTGATGTAAAAAGTCACTTGAAAAAGAAATTGAGACTGTTGTAGCTACATGTTCCAGAGCGCCTTACATAGTCATTCAATAAATATTTGTTTGAATATAAAAATCCTTTAAAACTGTTCACAATTTGCTTGAAACTTATTTTACAGCTTCAGTAGGCATCACTCTCACTTTGCACTGTCATTCAGTCTTTCTCTTCATCACACACAGAATCCCATGTCTCATCTCTGTGTCTTTGCACTGGCCATCCCACATTCCTGGTGGGTACTTTCCTTAACCTTTCCTCATTGAAGCCTTCCTATCTTCCTTTAAGACACAGCTCGAGCACTATCTTCTACATGAAACTTTTCCTGATTTCCCAAATTTCTAGTGCCTTTCCTCCCAAACTAACTTATATTTAACTACTTTGCATATATCAGTGTTTATTCACTTTTTATTTATGCTGTACTTGTTTCATATGTACTTGTTGTCTCTCTTATTAGAATACAAGCTCTTTATGAACAGGGACTGTTTCATTCTTTGACCTTGTATCACTAGTACCCAACACAGTGCCTGGCACAAAGAAGTTAATAAATTTCTATTGACTGATGGTTATGATAAATATATGTATATATACATATATGCATACATACATATATGTGTCTAGTGTGCGTATGTGTGTATGTGTGTGTATATATATATATATATGTATGTATGTATGTATGTATGTATATAGTGCTCAGTATTTCTGGTACCTCCCACTACCAGGAAGATCCAGGCCAGATCAATGGCCCTCCCTAGGATGAGTCAGTCACCAAACATTTATTAAGCACCTCTTTCATGCTAGGCACCATGCTCAGTACAGGGGATACAAAGAAGGGTAAACAAACAAAAATACAATTCTTTCTCTCAAAGAATTCACAGTCTAATGGAGAAGACAACCTGAAAACAACTATTTACAAGCAAAATATAGACAGGAATAATAATCAACAGAAAGAAGGCACTAGTATTAAGGAGAATTATTGGGAAAGATTTCTTATAGAAGGATGGATTTTATCTGGGACTTGAAGGAAGACAGGAGACATACATGAGGAGAGAGAGGAATTACAGGCTTGTGAAAATGCACATAGTGAGGAGACGGTGTATCTTTTATGAGGAATGGCAAGAAGGACAACAAAACCAGATTGAACAGTACATTGGGAATACTAAGGATAAAACTGAACTCTTTTAGAACAAATTGTTGTTGTTTAGTCACCAATTCTTTGTGACCCCGTTTGGGGTTTTCTTGGCAAAGTTATTGGAGTAGTTTGCTCTTTCCTCCTCCAGTTCATTTTGCAGACAAGGAAACTTAGGCAAACAGGGTTAAGTGACTTGCCCAGGGTCACACAGCTAGTAGGTGTCTGAGTCCAGATTTGAACTCAAGAAGAAGAGTCTTCCCAACTCCAGGCCCGGCAGTCTATGCACTGTACCAACTAGCTGCTCTTTTAGAACAAGTCCTTTAACTAATATAGCAAGTTATCTTTTAGCATATAAGCAGTCTGTAATTGCTAATGTTCCTGAGGAGATGTTAGAATATCTCTGACATCATTGCTTACAGTTTCAATGAAGAGCTTTAAAAATAAATTTGTGTCTTGAACATATCATCATTTTATCTCTTGCCATGTCCAGAGAAACATTCTTCAATAATAGTAAAAAGTTTCTTCAAAAGAATGTGAGAACTGCCCTCAGTAATGAGGTAGAGGATTTGTAGACCTACAGTTACAGGCAATAACATACAATGTCAATTTTGTTGCTTTGTGGGTTGGTTTTGCTTAACTGTTTTCCTTGTTATAAGGGAAAGTTCAATGGGTAGTGAAGGGTTCATCAGGAAATGACTATCAAGTTAAAATGAAAAACCAAGAAGTAATCAATAAAAGAAGAGGGGAGATCCAAAGTTACTGTCAACACCTTCTCTATCCTACACCAAACACATCACCACTACTAAATATGTAAACAATTATGCCAAAACATAGGGCGATGACTCCTCAAGAGTACTTTCTGGGACCTTCCCCTCCCCCCACCTCAGGTCCCTTGTTACGCACACCATTTAACATGCAACTACCAAGAAAAGGATCAACACTAAAAAGCTCCACAAATTCTTAGCCTTTCCACACTCCTAATGTCTAATTCTTAGACGAGAAACATTATTCTACAAAACTGACCTGGATGCTATTTATGGAGGAGGACAGATTCCATACTTTGAGATCTCCTGTTACAGAAACCACCAGGAGAGAATCCTCTGTTAAAAAAAAAAAAAAAAAAGACATGAGTTGACCACTGAGCATTTCAGTCACAAAAAGGATATCTTAACTATAGGTTACGTATTTTGGAAAGTTGTACCAGTTTATACATATACATACACACACGCACACACACATATATATCCATACACATATACATATATACACATACACACATACACCCACACACGTATGTATATACTTATACACCCCTTACTTCTTATTTAAAAGGAAATAATAAACCTTCTGAATGTTTGCATGAAAAATAAATTTCAGATCTATTGTTCTGTCATCAGCAGACTCTCTTCCCCTATATAGGCACTGTTATTTTAGAAGATGAACCTTATATTTTTACATCATGTAATACATATCAAATTTAACTCTTAAACTGTCCTTTCATCACCATAGCCTCAGGAAAAAGGAAAGTATAGAATAAAACTGGTCATTTTTAACAAATACTTAGCCATTACTGAGACATCTCAAGCAGAACTGGTTCACAAGAACCAGTCTTTTCTGACTGTATCCACAATGCAATCTCTTTCCAATGTCTTGGGCCATTCATTTAGCTGTCCCCATCTTTCCTTAGCCCTTTCACAATCACTCTGTTCTTCCCATTATAAAGGAGTCAATCTCACATAAGTAGCTACTGCCTTGACCAGGTAACACAAGCAAACATTCTTGATTAGGACATGATCTGAATTTATCAAATACCCTTCACCTAGTATTCATCAGTATGCATATTTTCCTATGCAACCAATTAAGACATTTCAGTGATAATGTGTCTACACTGCCCTGGGTTACTTCATGCACTATAGCAAACATATACCTTGAATCCTCATGGAGTGAACAATGCACATGCAGTTGATCCAATCAGGAGATTGAGAGGATGTAAAAGTGTGAAGAACTGCCAAGGTCTTGGCATCAATAATGAGGATATCTTGATACTCTCCACAACACAAAAGCCAGCCATCTCCTGTCATTCGGAAGGCGCAGTGATAGTACTGTCCAAATAGAATCCAATGTTTTTTTAAAGTCAGTGCAATTGAGGCACAAAGTGTGTGTGTGTCTGTGTGTCTGTGTGTCTGTGTGTGTGTGATTGTATATATATTTGGGGTAGGAGACAGGACCAATGGTGAATTCATCTGGGCACCTCAGCTTCCTTACCTATAAAATGAGGAAGGCAGTGCATTCCATTTCTAAAATTTTACAGCTTGGTAGTTCTAAGTTGTCAAGTTTTCACCTCAACCACAAACATATTTTTCATGATATTAAAAGTTGCACTTTATGAAAAAATATTCTTAATTGTGGGAAATAAAACATTTTGATTAATTCAAGTCTGTTCCTTGTAACATTTTTGTAATGAAGACAACTTCCAACCCTCTTCTTTTCTGTACTAAGCATTTACTTTTAAATCAGAGTAATTTTTGCAGTAATTGCATTTTTGAGTTATTTCTATTAATGACAATTCTATTTCTATTAATTTGTATTCATGATAATTAATTCTAGTGATAGTACATTCTAGCCTTGGTAAGATATCTTCTATCTATGCACATTTATGACCAGAGAAGGCCAGATTAAAGAATACAAATGGGAGATATGGTAGAAATCTTCATGAAAGATATCAGAAATAATGTCAGCACCATACAAGTTATAAAACAAGGTTTTTACCTTTTGTAAAGGCCAAAGGAAAAGTAAATATAATCTTAAAAAAGACAGATCACAAAATTTTCTATATGAAAAAATATGGATATAGGTTTATAAAGAATATGTGTATTTAGTAATGTTTAATCACTAAACCAGGGAACTATTAAAGATCTGTGCAATCTGCCTTCTGACTGAGAGGTGATGGATATGAGATGCAGAATAAAAAATATACTTGGGGAGAGAAAAAAAAGAATTCATATATTTGTGAGATGTATTATTTTTAAGAAACTAAAGCGGAAACAAAATTAATTGCTTGAACAACATTTTTTTAAAAGGGAAATTGAAATACTAAATTATTGCAAATACAACCTTAACATATTAAAAGCTTCCCCCTTTTTATCCTTAAGGCAAATTATATTTGTGAAAGGGTGAGGGGAAATCCCTTAAGTACAATCCCTTAAAATGTCTGCACCCCAGTGATTCCAAGTTGTAAAAGCCTGAAATATCCCATAAGAAGCAGATGTAAGATGTACTTACACAGATGGCTGTGTGTCTATAAGGGAGAGTTGCAGACTCAATGCACTGGCCATTGGTGACATTCCAAACACACATCTCCCTGCCAGAGATAACTTTGTATTATTCTCTATCATTTCCACTCAATTGGCTGGAATAATTTTGTGCTACCAAGTTTTTCTTTAGTGCTGCACTTAAGTGCAGCCTGATCGTTTATGTGGCTTTTTGTTACAGATTACTGGGCAAGAAAACGTTGTGGTCATTAGCAGGGGATGACACACGGTATCTGTTTCTTTTTGTTTTGGTAATTACACCCTGCTGCCAGGCAGCAACCTTACTTTAAGGCCAAACCAGGTCCACGACAAATTGTGCGGGGATGGCCATTATGGCTCCTTCAGAGTGACACCAGAATGATCATTCCTTGCAACAGCATCCTCCTGAAAATGGCTCATTTCACCGAGCTTAACCTGTACCTTCTCAAAAGCATAAATGCATCTTGTGCCGCTCTACTGGGCTCTCTGTGTTGATCTAAGAGATCGCTCTGTTAAGAATAAACAGTGCCACCTAGGGGCCAGTTTTGGCCTAAACTCATCCTCTCTACAAACTCAAGCAAAAATGTCAACCCATTCTAAAAAAATCCATGCAGATTAATATTTAAGCAAGATTATTTTCATCAAAATTACATAGTTATATCTATAGCAGATGCTAATGAAGTTACCCATATATATGTATATATTTAAACAAAGTTTTTCAAGTAGTTTATATAGTTGTACATATAACCAATGTTAATGAAATTACCTCTGCAATATATATTTGAATGAAATTTATCTAGTTTACACAGTTACACAACTGATGTTAGTGAAATTATATCCATAAATTAATATTGCCCACAAGTTCAGAAGAGCGCACAATTCTATAGTTAGAAAAGACCATCGAGTTCATCAAAAATCTATGGAGAGATTACAGGAGGTCTATGATCTTGGATAGGAAAAAAAATATTTCTTTATTTCAATATGGTTGATTCCCTTTGAAGTTTTGTGCTTTCTGAGGCTATACCAGACTTCCATAGGCTTTACCAAAATTCTAAAAGGGTTAGAAGAAAAACAAATTAAGAAACCTTGATCCAACCCTAACCCAACTGCCTCATTTTACAAATGAGGAAACTGAGGCCCAAAGAGAACAAGTAACTTGCCCATAATCATATAGATCATAAATATCAGAAGTGGGGTCTGAATGTAGGCCTTCTTATTCTAAATCTAGTATTCTTTCCAATACAGTATGCCATTTCTCAAATTTGTTTTCTTCTTTTTCATATAGGGAAAAAAAAGTATTTTTAATAGTTACTATTAAAAGTTCATATATCGAGAGCTGGAAGGGGCCTCAGAGGCCATCTAATAAGTTCTCTGATTTTACAGATGAAGAAATTGAGGCTTAGGGAGGTTAACTGATTTGTCCCTAGGTCCCTCAGGTTGTAAGCATGATAGGCAGAATCTGAACTCAGGTCCTCTGATTTCACAGTCAATGCTTTCTGATCAAAGGTTAAGCTCTTCAATCTGTATAATGATGGGAGAGGGGCAGAGCCAAGAGGGCAGAGTAAAAGCAGTGACTTGCTTGAGCTCTCCCCCAAACCCTTCCAAATGCCTGTAAAAAATGGTTCTAAACAAATTCTAAAGCAGCAGAACCCACAAAAAGACAGAGTGAAACAAATTTCCAGCCCAAGACAATCTGGATGGTTGATTGGAAAGTTTATCGAGCTGGACAGGGAGAGGAACGCAGTTCGGCGTGGGTGTGCAGGCAAAACAGGCCTCAGCTAACCTGAAGCAGGCCTCAGAGGACTGAATCACGGGCAGCTGTGGTGGTTTCCAGACTTCTCAACCCACAAACTCCAAAGACAACTTAGAAGGTCAGTAGGAAAAGTCTGTGACTGACATAAGAGAGAAGTGCAGTCCCAGCCCCAGTCCCTGAGCTCAGCCCTGGGGCAGTGACTGCTTCTGGAGCTTCTGGCCCACAGAATGAAGGGGAATCGAGTGGCTAATTAGAGGGGGATTGCAGGGATCTCTTTGCTGGTGCTGAGGCAAGATTCTCTTGCTTTGCCTGTGCTTGGATCTGGGTCAGAGTTCTGGGTGGCAATCCTGGGGAGAGGAGGAATGCTGGCATGGTGGAGCTTGTAGTGGTTGTGGAGAGGAAATCCTCCTTACAGTTCCAAGGCAGAAAAGAGTGCTTGTGGTCACTCATAGACCAGAGCACAGGCCAGGAAAGGAGTAAACACCTTGCCCTTGATCATAGCACCTTAGAAGAACTGAAAACTTACAGGTCCCTAGGAGTATCTCTGAACACAGCTACAAAACCCCTGAAGCTTGGGACAGTACATTCTCCATACTGGAAGCAGACTCCTACCACAAAGAGTTTATAACTCAAGTAATTGCCTGGGATCATGAGCAAACCTCACAAAAAAAGTCAGAGCATAGAATCTTTCATTGGTGACAAAGAAGATCAGAATATACAACCAGAAGAAGACAACAAAGTCAAAGCTCCTACATCCAAAGCCTCCAAGAAAAATATGAATTGGTCCCCAGGCCATGGAAGAGCTCAAAAAGGATTTTGAGAAGCAAGTAAGAAAAGTAGAGGAAAAACTGGGAAAAGAAATGAAAGTGATGCAAGGAAATTATGAAAAACAAGTCAACAGCTTGCTAAAGGAGACCCAAAAAGATACTGAGGGAAATAACACCTTAAAAAATAGCCTAACTCAAATGGCAAAAGAGGTCCAAAAAGCTAATGAGGAGAAAAATGCCTTAAAAAGAAAAATTGGCCAAATGGAAAAGGAAGTCCAAAAGTTTACTGAAGAAAATACTTCCTTAAAAATTAGAATGGAGCAATTGGAAGCTAGTGACTTTATGAGAAATCAAGACACTGTAAAACAAAACCAAAAGAATGAAAAAATAGAAGAGAATGTGAAATATCTCATTGGAAAAACAACTGACCTGGAAAATAGATCCAGGAGAGAGAACTTAAAAATTATTGGACTATCTGAAAGTCATGATCAAAAAAAGAGCCTACACATCATCTTTCAAGAAATTATCAAGGAAAACTGCCCTGATATTTTAGAACCAGAGGGCAAAATAGAAATTGAAAGAATCCACCAATCACCTCCTGAAAGAGATCCCCAAAGGAAAACTCCTAGGAATATTATAGCCAAATTCCAGAGTTCCCAGGTCAAGGAGAAAATATTACAAGCAGCCAGAAAGAAACAATTCAAGTATTGTGGAAACACAATCAGGATAACACAGGATTTAGCAGCTTCTACATTAAGGCACTGCAGGGCTTGGAATATAATATTCTGGAGGGCAAAGGAGATAGGATTGCAACCAAGAATCACCCAGCAAAACTGAGTATAATCCTTGAGGGGAAAAAATGGATATTCAGTGAAATAGAGGACTTTCAAGCATTCTTGATGAAAAGACCAGAGCTGAATAGAAAATTTGACTTTCAAATGCAAGACTCAAGTGAAACATGAAGAGGTAAACAGGAAGGAGAAATCATAAGAGGTTGAACTGTTTGCATTCCTGCAACAAAAGATGATATTTGTCACTCATGAGACCTTTGTCAGTATTAGGGTAATTGGAGGGAAAAAATTATATGTAGATAGATAGATAGATAGATAGATAGATAGATAGATAGATAGATAGAAGGCACAGAGTTAGTTGAAGATGAAGGGGTGATATCTGGAGAATAAAATTAAGGGGTGAGAGGATTATATTGGGAGAAGAAGAAAGGAAGAGGTAGAATGGGGTAAATTATCTCTCATAAAACAGACAAGAAAAGGCTTTTGCAGTGAGGGGAAACAGGGAAGGTTGAGAGGAAATAAGTGAATCTTATTCTTATAGGATTTGGCTAAAGGGGGGAATAACATACACACTCAATTGGGCATGGAAATCTATCTTACCCTACAGGAAAATAGGAGGGGAAGGAGACAAGAGAGCAGAGGGATGATAGAGGGGAGGGCAGATTAGGGGAGGGGGTAATCAGAAGCAAACACTTCTAAGGAGGGACAGGGTCAAAAGAGAGAATAGAATAAATGGGGGGGGTGGGACAGGATTAAGGGAAATATACTTAGCTTTTCACAACATGACTACTATGGAAATGTTTTACATGACTACACATGTGTAACCTATATCAAGTTGCTTGTCTTCTCAATGAGGGTGGGTGGGGAGAGATTTGGAACCCAAAGTTTTAAAAACAAATGTTAAAAAAAATTGTTTTCATATGCAACTGGGAAATAAGATATACAGGAAATGGGGTTTAGAAATCTATCCTGCCCTACAGGAAAATTGAAGGGGAAGGGGATAAGAGAAGGGGGGCAGAGATAGAAGGGAGGGCAGACTAGGGGAAGGGGTATTCAGAATGCATTCCATCTTGGGGTAACGGGAAGGGCAAGATGGGGAGAAAATTTGGAACTCAAAATCTTGTGGAAGTGAATATTGAAAACCAAAAATAAATAAATTAAGAAAAACAAAACAAAAAAATCTGTATAAAGGTAAAATTCCCAATCAAGAAAAATATGAAACCTTTATAAGATTTGGAAGATAATATTAGAATCCAAGAAAAATACTAAATATGTAAGAAATACTACATAATAGTAATGGTTTATGTTTTTTTCCTGTTCTTTCCTAGGATTAAAAATTCTAAATGTAAATTTAGATAATATGGAATCATTGCTATGAAGCTAGAAGAGCCCTTGGAGGCCTTCTAGTACAATCTATTTTAGATTCAAAGAAGTTAAGTGACTTGCTCACAGCCATACAGGTACCAAGCTTCAGAATTAAAATTTGAACCCAGGTCCTATGACTCCAGAGTTAGTGCTTTTTCCATTCATATCATGCTTCCCATAACCAGCTATTGAACTGAACCAAGCCAAACTCGAAAGATATTTGGACCTATAAATGGTTACAATAAATTCCAATGTGTCAAAAGTTGCTAAAGTAAAACAAAACAAAACAAAACAACCTAAATGGTCTTGTAGTCTATTAGTGTGCTTTTCATCAAAAGTGTCCAATTGTCTATCATTTCTCCCCCATCAAAACAAAACAAACAAAATATTATCAC